AAACTCATTCCGTGCCCATGTTCTACCCAAAGTGAAATATTTGATTATCACCTCTGTTGTTCGTGACATAATTAGTCATGTACTGCTTTCTGATATAGAAAGTCAGCAAGGCCTTCCATGGGGCCTCCAACTTCCCCACAATTATAAGTTCTCCTCTGAACAAGACTGTGAATCCCCCAAGGACAAGGACTCTGTTCTTGTACTTTTTTTTTTTTAAAGATTTATTTATTTATTCATACAGAACTGGGGTACAGACCAGAGATGCGGAAGGTGAAAGGTGAAAGGATTCACCAGGAACAGAGTGGGGAGCAGAACAGGCAGATCAACAAAGTACACTGCTGAGGGGAGCAGTGGGCAGGTCAGGAGAGGTCTGCCGCGCCATGTGGTCTCCTCCGGGGCAGGCGGGGATCGAACTCATGCGGAATTGGCTTAAGCTTCTTAGTGCTGTGCTTTAACCCGCTGCGCAACCAGGGAGGGCCCCTGTTCTTGTACTTTTAAAAAGCCTATAGATTATCAAAGTACCCGGCACACGGTAGGTGCACAGTCATCTGTAATTTGAGCTTTTTGACCCTTGATTTGTCCAATGAAACCAAATGGATCTTAAAGACATAGATGCCTGGGACAAATTTTTACTGCCTGCCAAGTGCCAGGCCAGGTTATCTCCCAGACACGTGGACATGCTAAGAGTCCTGTCCTCGAAGTGTTCATTGCTCAACCCAACCAGTGAGACCTGGCAACGTCATGTCCTTATTCAAAGATGCTCAGGAGTTCTTCGTCAATCTGTAAAGATGGTGCAAAGTCCTTCCCTGATGGTTTTGTTTGCAAGTAGAAGCAGCCATTGACCTCTGTGGCACTCATCTTTCGCTGCAGCAGGGAGTCAGCACTGAGAGAAATGGGCATGACTTGCGCTGCCCCAAAAACCCATACAGGCAGCCAACCCCTCGTACCAGGCTCAAGTGGACACAGCTGTATGGAAGTAGACCAGAGATCCAGGCCGTATTCGGCAAGAGCTACTTTTTATTCATAGGTTTACAGGATATATTGAATTAAGAGGCATATTGTTTGTTAACTCTATTTATGAAACAGCTAAATCTATGTTCAGGCTTAAAATGCATTCACTGTAGCTTACATACTGTAAAATTTGCTCTAATATACATATAAACTATTCGTATTTTACCTACGTGATACATTTAAAATACATAAAAATGGTACCAAATGGCATATTGGCCTGTTTTATCACAGTTCCTGGACATGCCTGGTAGTCAAGGGGATTGATAAGGAATGCACAGTTCCCCACTAGGAATAAGGTAGATTCTGACACAGCAATGAAATAGCGTAAGAATAAGATGCCTCAATTAAGACCCCAGTAGTTTTACAATATAATTCTTGTTTTAATTAGCATTACAATTGGCTCTGTGCATTAATAATTGAGATGCTGTTAATCTGCCTGGTCTCCCTCCAGTAGCCCTGACTGAGGCAAAGGAAACTGTGATTTTTTTTTTCTTCCAGTGTCTTTCTACTTTCCCAAAGAGTTTCCTGTATAGCCATCTGCCCTGCTTTTTTGCCAGTTCCCTGTAAAATTTCCCCCAAGTCTGAAGCATTCCATTCCTTTCGTCAACATCTAGATTACTGCATCCCTCTCTAGGGCACTATTTAACAGAATCTTTGACCACTACCTAATGAAAGAACTCTCTTCCAACTCTGCAGATGAGGGGCTGACACCTCTGTAGAAGCATCAGGAAAACTGCAGAAGAGATTGTCATGAGGTGGTGTCGTGCAAACAGCCTTCCCTCCTGCAAACTTCATCCCTTTTTCATTCTACCCCAGGATGAAGGAATTTCTATCATCACTGTCCCTGGCAGCCAAACCCCCAGCATCCCACGCTGATTTCTTTCCTAAAAATACACAGCCTCTCACTCCACAGGGAAGAAAAAGGCAACACTGCCATTTCCAGCATGTTCCCCAAAGATTGAGTGTGGCCGGGAACAATTCATCAGCAACCGTGCATCTGAGTTTTGAGCTTTTCCCCATAGAACTCGTCTTGTTTATCTTGTGGCCATGGTGACAAGAACCAGAGGTGTCTCAAGCTGAGTGTTCCTCCTAGTGCAATGGGGGCTGGGGAGGGAGGGGTGGCACTGTGCCAGTTAGAAACCCTCTTTAGACGGGAAAATGATCTGAAACTTCCACAAAGTCTTTAAGCGTGGAACCTCACATGTAGAAGCACTATTTTCCTTAAGGCTATACATGTCTTGATGCAATTTTAAATTTTATCTCAAGGGGCTTCTGTATCCAAAATCATGATTCATGTATGAACAAGTCTCTATCAGGTAGGCATGACAGGGTGTCATGAAAACAAAGTGCAGAGCCTGCTGCTTGACCAGAGGGAGTGTTCTAGTTTTGCCACTCATGCCTGGGCCATCTTGAACAGGAAACTGACTTAGTGTTTCTGAATTTATTGGCTTCTTTCTGAAATTAGAATAACACCTGTCTCTGCTAAACTGAAGACCTATTTTATGAATAATGAGAGGAACGCCGAAGAAACATAAAGCATTGCTGAAATTCAAGGTGGTCTTTTATCCATTGTCAAGAACCTGGGCCCATCATACCCAAGTCATGTTTTTGTGCGTAGAAGACCACTCCCAGAAGGCCGGATGGCATTGAAGGCAATTCCATGCGTTAAGGCTGGCATACTGGGCTCCCTGCCACGCAGACGGACTCAGCTGGGGTGTCTCCCCATCAGAATGATGAAAGACTGAGAGGAACTAACAGTGAGGACATGAAGCCACCACAGCTACGCCTAGTGTCTTCTAAGAGCAGGCTCACGGAGCCCTCTGCTCTGGTTTTTGTTGTTAGTTTTGGTCTTAAATTATGACTGAAAGGCAACTTCTTGAAGAAATTGTTTAAAACTTAAGAGATTGTTGGGATGGAGCAATAAGGTTAATGAAGCAAAGCTTCTACCCCCTCACACCAAGACCATCCCTGTGCCTTTGATAATTCAGCCAGCATGAACCCCTCTCTCATGCAGGTTCTGATCCGCCCAAAACTTGTTAAAAGGAGAAAGCAAGCCCAATGGCTGCTGAGTGGGTTTCCCACCCTAACACCTTCCTCCCACCCATCCCTGCCTCCAGTGGCTCTAGAACTTCCTTTCACCTGGATCAGTAAGTCCCCCATGGGCAGTCCAGCATCTTGTAGTGCCTGGTCTACAGCTTCTGGGAAGTGCTTATGTTACTTTGTGATGAGGTCAAAGGGCAACCTGCTACCACCTCTGTAGCAAGGCTGGGAGGCTGGAGCACTGGAAGGCGGAGGCCCCGCTGTGTCTCTGTAAGGCCTGGGCGCAGGGACATCATTCCCATCCAGGATAGGTTCTGGGCTGTGCCGACATCTCCACTGTTGGCAAAGTGCCCACTTTTCCACCTAGACTAGTCTGGGGGTGTCATGCACCAGAAGGGATAGCTAGAGGCAGAACAGCACTTCTCACTTGCAGCCTCTGATGTTGGCATCCGGACACTTTAGTTGACGCTGGCAACTAAAATGAGCCAGAAAGGCGAGAGAACACAGAAGAAAGAAGGACAGTGACTTGCCAAAGAAAACAGACCACTTTTCTCCTGTTGGGTCAGAGCTTGGTAGGAAAGTTCCAAGCAGTGATGCCCTCAGCATGCAGCCCCAGAATGTCCCCAAGGATGCGGTTGTGCCATCAATCCATGGTTCTCTAAGTGCTAGTTACTGCCTTGATCTGCATTGCTTCATGTTTGTAGGAAAACATCTACCGACTCATGACTAGCAATCATTTAAAAATAATGCAGTAAGTATGCTGATGCTACTTTCATGGCTAGAAGAGAAGTGGCTGGATTATTCTGGCATTTTCTCTCCCAAAACTGTTAACTTATTCTCTAAAGAGAAAGTGCTTGTCAGGTTTCCTGATTACCCAACATCCACCTGGAACCTTCCACAGAAGACCCTCAAGAGCTTCCTGAGGGTCCATGCCAGAAAGGGATGGTTTGAAATAGGCCTCCTGACCCCCTGAGCTCCTGAGTGCAGACCGAGTTCGTGGGATTCAGCTTACCCCTGAGGATCAGTCTGAAACAACCCCCCCCCACACACACACACCTGGATGAGATAAGGTCAATGTGTGGTCTCATGTGAGCATGTGGGACTTGGGGGTTTCCTCTGCTGAAGTCCTGCAGAGGAGGGAGCGCTCTGTTGTCGCAAATATCCTGGTTCTTCAATCTGGGGCCACGCCACCTTTGCCAGGGCTGCACTGACAGCAGAAATATCAGCAAATCAACAAAGCAGGCCTGTAGAATGAGCAGGCAAGTAGGCAGGCAGGTGTGTGGGCGGGCAGGTTGGGAGTCACTGACTTGAAATATTAAGTTGCCCAGAGGGCAAAAGACATGTGCATATCAAAGGCCACCCCTGGGCTTCGGAGCACACCCGGACTGCATGAAGTCTCCTCTTACTCCACAGAATCTCACTTCAAAAATCCTACTAAAGGCTCACGCTATGGAAATACCCATCCCACTGCTCTGATGGAGTAAAACGCTCCGGTTTTGGCTTGTCTGCTGGAACCCAGAACTCAAGGTGCTGGGTTCAGAGAAGCAGATGAGTCACAGAGCATCAAACCAGCATCACTGCTCTGGCCTCCGCGGGGGGTGGGGGGGCAGGTTAGAACCACAGGAAGAGGGGAAACTCCATGCTGATGTGCCGGGGCAGGCCTGGCCTGCCATGTGTCAGCAAATCATTTTCTCTGGGGTGGAGGGAGCAACGTCAGACACTGTTTTATCCACATACCTGTGACGAACATTCGCGTGAGCCAGTCACATCAGCTTCTCCTCTGCCGGGAGATTCAGAAAGGCTGGGCGGCTCAAAATAGTATCACTGCGTGTTATCAGATTTTTACGCTAACCATCAGCAAATCTTTGCAGCTGACTTTGGCTTCACTCATTCTTACCAAAAAGATCGCTAAAATGGAACGAGAAGGGCCCACTGTTGTTTTGGTCATTTTATTATTATTATTATTTCATTGTAACAGCTGTCCCATCTTAGCCGATTTTTCTCCTTCATTAAAACAAAAAAGAACAGAAAAGCACATCGTTTTTCTAGATGGTATGAGCTAATGCTGTACTCTTTTCTCAGTAACGACAGGCTTTACGATGTCATTAAGTGGCAGAATGACGTGTCATGCAGTTAGCCAGTAAATGCAATCCCTGATTAAAATGTGACTTCTAAAAGTTTGAAAATGTCTAACTATTTCCCCAGTGCGCTTTTTATTTTACTTTTCAAGTTTCACTGCTCTGAACCTGTTTCCCCTCCCCCCGTCCTGTTCCGTGACGACTCTCATGTCTCGTGAAAGTGCTCCACGGCCTTTCAATTCACCCACCACACCTTCACAGACTCAAGTCAACAACTATGTGTTCAAAAATCTTTGTTTTCCCTTTGAAACTAGATGCGAAAAAGAAATCTCTTCTGTCGGTGGAGACGGCCGTGAAGGAGCGGGGCGCCTGCACGTAGATCTCCTTAAACTTTTTGAACAGCTGCTTCTCTTTATCCCACTGGTAGATCTGGGAGAATGTATAGTCACTCCCCAGGGCCAGGTAGTGATTCTCCTTAAAGGAAAAAGGCTGCAGGGTCATGGCCCCCCGGGAGGGGAGGGCCTGGACCTCCACGAACTGCTTACTGTTCCACATCATCACCCGAGAGTCCCCGATGAAGCGGGTGAGGGACAGGTAGAGCGCGTTCTGCATCCGAAAGCTCTTCACAGCCAGCACGTCCTCCATGTTGGGGATGTCACTGTGGGGGACAAACTTCTTAGAGCTCTTGTTCCACTGCAGGATGATGGGGACCTGGGAGCGGCTGGACAGGATCAGGTGCGACTTCCCGTCGATGTCCACGAACTCTGCGTCCGTGTCCCGGAACCACTCGTGCAGGGACTGGTATGAGTAGAAGCCTTTGCTGTTCCACTTGTACACGGTGGACAGCCCCGCCTTGGAGCTGTCCGCAATCACGAAGAAGGTCTCGTCTTCAATCTGAAACAGCTCGATGTCGTTGGGCTTGGAAATGCGAGAGACTTCTATGTCTTGGAACTTGACAAACTTGGCCCAGCTCTCGTCGTACCTGTAAATGTGGGAGCCCCCAAAGAGCTGGGCCACCACCACGAAGACCTGGTCGTCGATGAGGACGGCCTTGCAGCCCACGATGGACTGACCTGCGCCCCGAAGAAAGGAGAGGGGTTAGGGTGGCGGCAGTGAACTGTGCCTCTACAGTGGCGTGGGAAGCTGGGTGGACGCAGGCTGGGGTGAAACGCAACTCTGGCTGTGGAAGACAGTATGGCGGTGTGTCGGCAAATCAAATCTGGTGGACCACAGGATTTAAGTTAACTCTGGGCTTCTACCCGAAAATATTAAAGGCGGAGTCTCAAAGGGATATTTGTGACAGTCACATTCATGCACATGAGCCAAAAGGTGGAAGCCACCCACGTCTCCACGGGAAGGCACTGAGTAAACATTTATACATGCACGATGGAATTCTGTGCGGTCATGAAAGGAAATTCTGATACATGCTACAACACGAATGTTGAAGACATTATGAAAGACAAACTAGGCACAAAGAGACCATGTAGGACGCCACTTATAGGAGGCATCAGAGCAGTCAGGTACACAGGTGGTGCTGTGTGGGATTGGGGGGCGGGGAGAAGGGGGAGCTGTTTGTAATGGGGCAACTTCCAGTTTTCAAGATGAAAAGAGTTCAGAGATTGGATGCCCCACAACATGAAGGTTCTTAAGCCCACTGAGGGTACCCTGAAAGATGGTGAGATGGCAAAATTCATGTTACATATCATGCCCCTCAATTCAATTTGAATTTCCTTTTTCAGTGGACCACCATAGAAATAGGCAAGGCAGGTCAACTGGCATTTTTGGAGGCAGGTATCCTAGTGAGGACACTCACTGACATGCAGGTGTTTCTGAATTCCACAGGGCAGAATGAGGCAGTTACATAGGCTTCTTCTCTCCAGGGTAGGAAGGAAGGAACAGGGACTCAGAGATGGGAGGGGAAAAGCATAGGGCGGGCTTGAAGATATTTGACCTCATTTGGCTTCCAGAGCCAGAGGAAGTGGAGACAGAAAACAGGGTCAAATTTTGCAACCCTCCACTGGGTGCGGGGTTCAACCCAGCCCTGCAGCTTGTAAGCGTCCTGACTCTGCCAGCCAACTCAATTCTGAACACAGAATAGTCGCCTGTATAGTCAAGGTCACTTAGTGGTGTTCTAATGTGTGTTGGGGCAATTTCATCATCGTGCCAAGGTCAGCAAGTATCCATTATACAAGACTGCAATCTGCAATTATGGGGACCACTGTTGTATACACAGCCCTTCACTGTTCAAAATACGGCATGAGCGAGGTGACTACAGAATGAGACTGAGATGCTGCAGCCCTGACCCCCAGGGCTGCCGTAAAGACTAAATGAGAGCCTTGTGGTCCATGCCTGCAGTCCAGGGCATGCACACACACACACACACACACACAGCAGGTGGTCCATCCTGAGTCCGTATCGTGATTGCATAATGGAGGCAACGTCCTGACAACCAGAAGGCCTAGCTACCCCCTTCTCTGACTGGCCCTAGCAAGGACTGCATAGGTGCTGCAGAATAATCTAACAAAGTCAGAGAACCGTATGTTTTCCAGAAGGCGGGGGTGGGGGGACATTCTCAGTCGACATTCTCCTGCCCTGGCACCTCCCGTGTCCTCTCCCACTCTGCCCACTGCTCCTGCCCCTGTGCCCCAGTCCCAATCGCCCCATTCCAGCCTGCAAGCAACAGCCCACCCAGGTCTCAGGGTGCTCTCCCCCCATGCAGGTCATTCAATTACAAGTTACCGCTTTCCCTTAATTTTCCAGGCAATCTGGACCAAAGTGAATTTGGTTTGTAAATTATAAGGATAATTACCCAATTTCTGTCCTTAGTATTAACTTTGGGGCAGAGAGGTAGTTTCTGGAGTGCTGTTTACTTTTCTCTTTCACTGTTTTGACTTCTTTTAAGAACCTGGCCCCTCTCCTTCACTGACAACAAACAGTTACATTTTTCCCTAAGTCTAAAAGTTATAAATATTCAGCAAAGCAAATTTTGAGAATAGTGATGGGTAACATAAAGCACATTCAGTGCTGAACAGCATACGAGACACCTCGTATGTCTTTGTGCCTTTAATCTTCACACAACCAGGTGAGGCAGGGACGATTACCATCATTATCGACACCATTTTATAGAAAAGTGAGACAGAGCCTGAGAGAACACAGCGAATACGAGTTGCACAGCCAGTGTGTGTTCAAATCCAGGTAATCTGACTCCAGTCTATGCCCCACCACCAAGGGACCAGAAAGCACAAAGAAAAAAGTCAAAATCACTTTCACTGTACATGCTGAACTTGATATCTTCATGTTTCCTCAATCTTTGCTAAGCAAATATCCAAATGTATGCTTTCAAAAATAGCATTGGACCTACAGTACACATAGCTTTTTTGATGACCTACTTTTTTTCACTTTACCATTGTGAATATTTCCCCATGTTCTTGCATCTTCTACGGGCTTGATTTTTTAATGCCATACAGTACTGCTGACCTTGAACAACATGAGTTTGAACTTTGGCAGTTCACTTAAACCGCACTTGGCGGATGCACTTTTATGAGGATTGTTTTCAATAAATGCAATCGCCATGTGTTCCTCAGCTCTCCATCGCCATGGGTTCCTCAGCCACAGCTGTCAGGTTGAATCTGTGGATGTGGCATTTGCAAATACCAAGGGCCGAGTATAAGGGAACTGAGCATCCTTGGATTTTAGGGGTCTTGAAAGCAACCTCCTGCAGATACCAAGAGATGATTTTTGGGGAGCGCAAAGTTCAGTACATGGGTTGCAACTTAGTGGGGTTTGGTAACCCTTCCCTCAGCATCATCTAAGACTCAACTGCATGCCAGTGCCCAGACGCACCACATCAATGAACTGACCCGTATTGTCGGGCATCGCAGCTACTTCTAGCTTTTCATTATTGTAAGTAACATGCTTCCTGGCGGATCTTTTCGTTTGGAAACTCATCTGGCAGTATTCTTGCTGGGTATACATTGTGACATTTTCAAAGGTTTCTAGGGTTAAACTATCAAACAGCTTCTCAGAAACTTCACTGACATCCACCCTGTGAACACTAACTGAGAGTGTAAGCTCCTGTGTCCTTCCTGAACGGCCTCGATGTGGTCCCTGCTGCCCAGTGTGCCTGCTTCAGCCCAGGCCATGGAGGAAGAAGGTCTTCCTTAAAGATGCTCTGTAAAATCTGTCCTGAAGACACTTGTCACCTGTGGAACTGTCACTAAAAGAAGCGATTATCATGTGTGTGTATGTGTGTACATGCATGGGTGTTTATTGTAGGGAGAAAAGAGGCTGGGACATACTTAGTGTGCAGAAATCAAAAGCAAAACAAAATAAACTCAACACAGGACAGCTGAGAAGAGATATAAAGGAGAGGACGAGCCGTGGGATGAGCCTGCCCATGGCTTCCTTCACTCTCTGCAAGACAGATGGATGACTACAGTTCAGTGGGCCTCAAAAGTGAACACTTGAGCCCCTGTCTAGCCTGGAAAGACTTGAGAAGTTTCTGCCAGCCCTTGTTGTGATCAAAGATGACAAATGAGGATGGCACAGCCTCAGGACGAATGACGTCTTCCTTGGTCTTGTTCAAGGCACGTGGTTCTGGGTTGGGACCCATGATATTTGCCAGGGCGAGTGCCCTGCAGGACTTTCCTTCCAACCAGGCTCAATTCCAGCACACCCCACCCTACGTCCACACTGCCTTCCTCTGCTGCCTCCCGCAGACCACTCTGCTGGCCCCTGCACCTCTCTGCTTATGAAAGTCATAAAGTGGTTTTTAATTGAAGTCCAAGAGTTGGGGTTTATGGAGGAAGGAGGACTGCTCCTGTTTTACTTTTACTGCAAAGTAGAGACAATAAGTACACGTGTTATGAGGTTGTCGTGTGGTTTATGTGAGCAAAGACCTATAAATCACTAAGTGCATAAATGTTAGTTGCCTTCCTTAAAGTGAAAAGATGGCAATGAGTTTCACTTGTATTTATGGAAATTCATGTACTAAGGGAACAAGAAAGATAGATACTTCATTCACTAAGGTCATCCATGAGTGCTTCCTGGAGGAGGCTATGTTTGCGCATGGAGACTCAGGTGAAAGGAGAAATAAATTTGGGAGAAGGCCAAATTGTGAAATGTGATCATAAATCAATACATGACAGGAAATGAACAACAGTTATTTGGTGGGGTGTGTTGGAACTTGACGTGTGGGTTCTACGCAATTTCATGAACTAAAAAGTTGGTGGTTTTCCCTAGTGGTAGTAAAGAATGGTAATCAAATATCTATTTTTGTCCCAACTGATACCCCACTTCTCAATGAGGGTTTCCTGTCAGCTGGGCACTGTGCAAAGCATTACACACATTACCCATTTATTTCCGTCGGAATTATTCCACTTCACAGTTGAATGAAATCTCTATTTACAGATGAAATGAAATAACCTCATCAAAGTCACAACTAGAAAGATCTGGAGCCAGTTTTATCAAAAACCACCTGGTGCTGTGCTGTTAACACGAACTACCACACCATGGTAGCTCATGGCTGTGGAGTGGATGCAGGGGCTTCATGTCAGAGTTGCCCACCTGTCCAAAGATGCAGATAAGGGGACGGAGAGGGCTGATGAATCCCTGGAAACCCGCGAGGCCCAGCCTCGGCCCCAAGCTCGCCACCCCACAGACCACTTCCTGCCGCCCACCGCTGGGGGCTCCCAGGGTCCTAGCTCTCCAGGGCATCACAGCCTCGGAACTAGTTGTTCTGCCTGTGCCCTTGTGTCACCCCCACCCAGACGACTCTGAGCCAGCACTGCCAGGCACCTTCACCTTCCATACTCCCCCCAGACCCCTATACCCCCAATCCATAGCTTTGCAAGCACCCAGGAAAAGCCGTAGTCTTCATAGGCCTCAAGGCCCCCACGATCAGCCTTCTTTCCTCAGCCTTCTTTCCTCTCTCGTTATCTCCTACCATTCCTGCAGGATCACGTGCTCACACCAGCCAGCCTTGGAGGCCCCAAACAGTAAGATACCCTCTGACCCCGGACTTGGCATTGACTGCTGCAGAGTCTGGGATCCCCTCTGGTCCCAGGTGTCAAAT